TGCTGATACTTTTTTAACCAATAATTTGTCTAAAAAAAATATAGATTATTTCGAAAGGTACTTATAGGTTGTTTCGAAAAGCGTGAGCAAGCTATATTCTTCTCCTTATTAACAGCGCAAAAAATTATTAAAACACTTAGTTAAAAAGTTAATATTGAGTCCAAATGAAAAGAATTTATTTCGATACGTTTTAGGTACTATATTTTTTACTTTATTTTTTTGCTTACTTTTTTGCTTGCCTCGATGAGAAGAATATAATTATATATAGTCGGTTCGTCTTTTCTCAAACACCCAGTACACATATAGACACACACATTATATTATATTTACTATATACATATATATATATATATATGTTATTTTATATATAAAATATTTTTATATATGTTATATATAGGTATATTTCGACATATTTGAAAATATTTTATATAAAAAAATTTATATAACTAGTGAATATTACATGTGTGTATGTGTATAGGATGTTTCAAAAGAGGAAGGAGATTATGTATAGTTATCCTCTTCTCATCGAGATAGATGAAAAAGTTTCTACAAATATAGTACCTGAAACACATATATATACATATATCTTCGATATAAAATTTTTCCCCTTTTTCTTGTATAGAGATAAACGCGCCTAGATTTTCATTTCGGGGGCCGGTAGAAAATTCTAATAATTACGTCTGTCCATTGTGAGAGAACGCCAGCGGCGGCACGTGGTACACGTCGCCGGAGGCGCAATTCCACATGAAAAATATCGCGAATGTTGTATCGTAAGAATTTAACATGCGCAGTGTCGCGCGGAATTTAATAACGCATAAATACAATAACGCGCCGTAATACACACACACACACACACACACATGGACTCGACGGACGACTTTCGCGTCGCTCTCCCTCTCGCCGCCCTCCTATCTTAATCATCTTTTTCTCCTCACCTCCTCTTCTCAAATTGTAATCGTGCGGCCGTGCTACAAGTGCTCGTCGCAATTTTTGCCGCTCGCTTCTCAGTGCCGCGCTGCGCGACGCGACGCGACGCGACGCGAATGACAGCAAAGATACCGCAACACGAAAGTCGTAAAGATGCAAATGCACGGAAAGATTGCCAGCTGTCGGACGGCGGCCTCGAAACGGCCAGGAGCCGATGAATCCTCCGCGTCGGCCTCCGCTCTCCGCGCGGAGGATTACTCTTCGGCCTCGCCGAAGAGGGAGAAAGAGAGAGAGAGAGAGAGAGAGAGAGGGGAGAAAAAAGTTGGAGTGTTACCCTCCTCAGAAATATATGTGTTATTACGACAGGTGGATGGCAGGGTATATTTTTCACGTGTATCTTGGGAACGAGCTTTCACTCCGCCTGCCGGGAGGAATCTGCCGATGCGAAGGGATGCTTCCGTTCCGCTGACGGCGACTGCCGATGCGAGCTTGAGCAGCCGAATGTATTCGGATAACTGCGTGTACTATCTGCGTGATCGATGAGCCGACAGAACTGACGTGTAACTAGAGAAAAAAGCAGATGCATACTTTACGTAGTTTTTCTTCCCGCTCTCTCCCCCCTTCCCCTATCTCTCTCTTTCCCCTGCTTTCCTATTTTCCTTTCCCGCCGCCTCTCTCTCTCTCTCTCTCTCTCTCTCTCCCCCTCGCTTTCGCTCTCGCTCTTTTAGCCTCTCTCCTTTTCCCGTTTTTATTTTTAGAATTACCCACTATTAGAGGTGGCGAACACGTACGGTAATGTACGCTTTCGCTACTAATTACAGCAATACCGCCGCGAATGCTGACGTTCTCGTTACGATAGCGAATGCATAAGTCACGAGCGCGCGTTTGTAGCCCGCTCGCGTCTACCGTGCTTGGTGTCTAATAAACGGAAATTTATTTTCGCGCGTGCGACGCGCCGGTTTATTTGCCGGCAATTTTGCCGACTGCCGTGTCGCGCGTCGCGTCGCGTCGCGCCGCTGCCGACAAAACGCGCGTGCATTATTCGGCTTGTAATTATAACCCGCGGATTTATGCGGCATCGGCCGAGTTAATTGGTGGCCCTTCCCACCCCAGGAAGCAACGATCGCGTCGGCGGAACGCGAAACGCTCGTGAAACGTATTAACATACGAGCCGTTAATCCATCCCATCCTTAAGAAGCGCGGATTTATCGCGGAAAATAAAAGCGAACTGCAGCGGAGGGCTCTGCCTGCGACCGTGGGGCCCTCTCATCGTTGGCGCGCGGATTGTCATATTTCACGGAGCCTTCCGACGACGACGACGACGACGACGACGACGGCGACGGGTGGGAACGGTGGCGAACGAGCGGCTTCAGGGTTTCGTCGTAATTTAATGACTAATCGGAAGTGTCCGAGGGGACGTGTAATCGCGTTACGTGTAATAATGGCCGCTCCGTCGCCGAGCATCGATTAAACTTTTCAAACTACTTTTGCAACTTGAATGAAGGTAACTCGAAGGCTCACGTTTATCTACCTATTGTTAGCGATTTAAATTAGGATACCGGCGCGACGATGATGCGAGCTATCTGGCCTGAGTGCCTTCAGTCTTATGGTCTTATCTTTTTTCAGCGACCGTGATTAAACTTTCCGGAATTTTAACGTATAGCGTATAGACGTGTGTGGCTGTGTTTGTGCGCGCGCGCGCGCGTGTGTGTCTTATTTGAAAGATTCAATAATAAAAAGGAACTTGGCGAAATTCACATTTTCCGAAGTTTCTTGCTGCTTAGGGGGCTTAGGAGGACTATTGTTTATTTTTCAATTTTCTACTCATTCAGACGCGTCTCTCCCTATTTCTCTCTCTCTCTCTCTCTCTCTCTCTCTCTCTCTTTTTTCTTTCTTTCCCCTCCCCCTCGATGGCGAGCTTCCAGTTTCTTTTTTCCATTTCACATCTTTTTGAAACTGTCGAGACTCGAGATATCTCGATGATTTAAAATCATGTTAAAATTGCGGTGATTCTCAACATGTATGGTCACAGAGACCATACATGAGCAATTCTCATCATATAACCGTTGATATTTCGCGATCACACTGCCAGTATCAACTAGGCACGCGCAATAGAAACGTTTATTACCAATGGTACGCAGTTCCCGGCGCAAAGCCGCGAGCGCGATTATTTGTTCGTGACGTGGTGACTCGCGAATTGATAATTGGACGTTTTCTTTTTGTCCGACAAAGGCCATATTTATTATCTCGTTAATTTTAATCCCCCGACCACGCGCGCCGCGTGACCTAGTGCTCGGTATCACTTACACGTCGACAACAATGATTCACGGCGCTTTTCCGCCGTAATAAAGGTGAGTTACGCACACGCACGCATACCACCTCGTGCACGACCACCTCGCCGTCCACTTGATGAAAAAAATTCACGAGCCATCACTCTACCAGAGAGACGTTCTTTTTCCTTTAACCGCATGCGATATTTCTTGTGATCTAATTGGGAAAACGTAATATACATATATATACATATATATATATATACACGTATATATATAACATATATATGTATGATGGAATTTAACAAGTCTTTTTTATCGGTTTATGTATAATCGAAACAAATATAAATATAGATTAGATAAAATCTAATAATTCGGGTGACACTTATTTTGCCGACTAAGTTACCTATAAATATAGATTACAGATTCCGTTTGTTTGAGCCACTATATCCACATCGTGTGAAGCGCAGACTATAAAGTGTCAAGAAGAGAAAGAGAGAAACATATCGGAACGTGAGGCTAAGTAGCTTAGTTTGTGGACTAGCCGTCCGGTAAGCGAGAAAGATCCCGGGTTCGATTTCACAGCTCAACCTACCATGCTCAAATGTAATTTCTCTTAATTCTTCTACAGCTGTTCTACTAGTTGATTCAGTAATTCATTATATAGTGCAGATAATCCAAACTGTATAGGAATTATTATCTTGACAATTATAATACTCATTGATATAAGAAAGAGAAAGAAGGAGAAAATATTAAAACATCTTAATGTGTGTTAGATAGCTTAGTCGGTAGAATAAGTATCGTCCGAATTACCGATTTTATCTAGTCTATCTATTTTGGTTAATATATTGCTTTTTCCTTTGCAATACAGCACAAGAGTATATATGCAAATAATCTTCAGTTTACTCAAAAAGAGGAAAAAACAAATCTATTTTTAAAGATATTATAATATTTTACTTACTACAAATTATTTCATATTTTGAGCCGATCTAAGTTTGCAAAGTCAATTTTACCAAAATTATTCGATTGCTCTTATCCAACGGATGAGGAGTGAAAAATTCAAAAAGTGAGATGTTTGAGATAATAATGAGATTCTCAAGTGCAGTCGTAATCGAATAGCCAATTTTGGGATATATCTAGAAATTCTAATCGGAATCTGTGGGGAAACTTTGAGAAACTTATATATATATATATATAAATTTCTCCACGTTTCCACGGATTCAACATTTCCCAGTTCGGAACTTAAGTCTCCCTCGATCGAAGATATCGATGATACCGCACGACATGATCTGGTTCGATTAGCGAAATTCTTCGTGAAGATGTATCTGCACAGAGATCGACCCTAGAATCGATCCTAGGAATTAAAATCTTATATCGCGCCTCGGGCCCTTCGGGATTCGTCGGTTATTCCACGCCCGTCCGATATTATTTCCACGGACTTAATCACCAACCGCCGCCCCGCCAATAAATCGCCCGTAATTTGCTTTAAGCTCCTCACGGAATTATCTATATAACCTACCTAACTCCGCGCCAAACTTGCTGGATTATCTCCGCCGGTCGATTCTCCAGCGTGCCGTTTTCTTCCGTCCGCGCGGAATCGACATCTTTGATTTCCGCTCTGAACGGCCGCATTTTGTCGCTCGACAAAATACAAACGAGAAAGAGAATGATCCTCTTTGTATTATAAATCCCCGCGCCCTGCCCTCTCCCCTTCCCCCGCCGCCTGCCCGATTCACCGCGAACGTGCTCTATCGATTCTCCGCGATCGGCTGCGCAATCTCATGGGAAAATGTCTTGTTATAGATAATGGGCAAGTGGTACATCGTGGAAGTCTTGGAACACAGACTAGACCCGCTGAAGCCGGTGAGCAGTTCGTATGTTGTCGACTCGTGCCCGATCGTGAAGCTGATGTCGCTAGAGCTTGGTACCTTGAAGCTACTGTGGAGCGAGGAGGCTGGTAATCTGGAGTACACCTTCCGGATAACGGATTTTCCCAAAAGAAGTGGCTTATGGCAGAGCATCTCCATGCAGAACGGTATTTCCTTCTATCCTTTACACATCTCGAGCTGTCGTTTACTTCGCGCTTTGTTAATCGTGCTCGTCTTAAGTCGATATGGACACGTTAGATCGGTTCTCGCGCTCTCGCACGCGATATGATAATTAGGTATGATAATATGATACCGAGAATTCAAAAAAAAAAATAGAGAAATAGTTTCCCGAGTAAAATTGTAACTAGCCAATCGAAAGCTACCAAATAATTAGTACAGGCTAAAATTAAATTTTCCTGCTCGTTATTGTCTCGTTACTGGTTAATTATTCACTAAAATGTAGAATTGATTTTGCAATCTAGCCATTGCGTATGAAACGTAATGGAATAGATAGCGCGCTCTCTCTCTCTCTCTCTCTCTCTGTTTTAAAATGTATAATCTGGCGTTACTGCGTACCTCTTCCCGCCATTAGCATTTTAAGATTAGTTAATGAATCAAAATTGAGAGTATCAAAATAAATACAAAATTTATTTTTCTTAGTAAAGATCTTACGAGACGGAAATGAGCGCGTCAGATTATTAGCTGCTAAGTAGTTATGGCTTTTCATCTCATAACTAATTTATTTTGCTTGATCATCCGCTAACTTATTTATCTTGTTAGCAGGAGGGGTGAGCGTTTCATTATTACTGGTTAAGAGCGATGTTAGAATCTACTTTAGACACGCCCACGGTACGTTCAATTTCTATGAGAATTACGGCGAAGTATGTTCTTCCACAGAACGATGTTTTGTCCTGTTTTTTTACGTGTTCCAAACTGTCGTTGGTTTTGCGTTCTGATGTAACGTCCGTCGTAAATCGGACTCACTGGATTACTCAAATCTGTTCTCACAGAGTTGTCCGCGATACCATTAGGATAAGAGTTCCCGGCTGAGTTATTACAACTTCCTCCCCGGGCAAATCGACGAGAGAACACATGGACACGGCTTGCCTCCTCGCACCTTAATCGGATCTCTCGCCATTCCGTTTTTTCTCTCGACGATAAGTTCCGCCGAGTACTCCGACGATCTCAATTATATATAAGACGGGTTGCGCCCATCGCGATTGATTTTTTGCGCCGCATAGATAGACCCGAGTTGGAAACTCCTCCGCGATAAGGCGCGTTAAGGGCCCTTAATTTTTCAACTATTCTCTCGAACGCTGTCCCACGTCTGTACGATCGATATGCCCCCGAGTGTCTATTTAAAAGGACGACGAGAGATAGGATCTGCGAGAGAGAGAGAGAGAGTGGTCTCCGAGAGACTGCAGCTACGAGAACGAGAACGAGCAAGAGAACAAGAGTTCCCCGTGGAAAGCGGCAGCGACCATTTCAACGCGCAATTCATAACTGTTTTTACGCCGAATGGCACCCGCTACTGCTGCTTGTCGTGAGTAGAATTAAAACTCGGCTTTTGCAGCAAAGGAATTTTTCAATTTGTCTCAAATTGCGATGGAAGCGTGTTGCTGCGCCGCTGCACGTCGTCGTCGCTACTCTCGTTCTCTTGCGCTTTCTTTCATGCTCTCCCTCTCTCTCTCTCTCTCTCTCTCTCTCTCTCTCTCTCTCTTTCTTTCTCTCTCGTTCTCGCACGTTCTCGATTTTATCGATCCGTTGTCTATATCCAAAGAAAAACATCGCGAGCGATAAGCCACGCAGCGAATTTGAATTATCTCTCTCTCTCTCTCTCTCTCTCTCTCTCTCTCTCTCTCTCTCTCTCTCTCTCTCTCTCTCTCTCTCTCTCTCTCTCGCGTCTCCCTGTCACTAAGTGAAAAAGTTACGCGGGCAGGCGACGAAGTTTTCTGCATTCAATTATATTATAATATATAATTGAATTATATTATTACAATGTCGCGTCGCGCATAATACAGAGCAATTACAAGATTTTCGGTTCTTGCGACGATGAAGTCACGAGAAAAGTTACGGTTACGGCGTTATGGTGGAATAAAAAGAAGACGGCCCTAGGAAGAGTAGGAGGAAGAGTTGAGGAAAGCAAATCGACGTGGAAGGTTCAACCGCGGACGGGTCTTCCCGCGGATAGTTTTATTGACTCTTTGCGCGTTTTATTGACACGAGGCAAATTGCCCCGCTTCGCGCGCAAGAGTGTCCTGCCTTCCCCCCTCGCTTCGCCCTCCTCTCAACACCTTTGCCCATCGTCCGTGTCGACAACAGGAAAACAAATATACCGAAAGCGCGCGAACTTCGCGGCGCGCGCGCGCAGAGAGAGAGAGTTCAAAGTTCTTTCCGCAGGCTGGTTATGATAAGTCGGTCTAAGTAACCAATCATGCCGCGCTTGCGGTGTAGTCGAAAGTTGGAGAAACTCCTCGCAAAGTAAATTCGATTAACGATTCAGTCGGGTAGGATCGCGCGGACGAAGCTGCATCGGCATTAGAGACGTGCCGTTAGGCCGCGCCGGCTTTCGGCGCAAGTCGATATGCGCTCGGGAATCGATCGGCAAACTTGCTCTCGCGAATCTTAAACGCCCAGTCAACGAGCGGTTATTCCCGACATCCAGCGATTTCACGCCCCATTACTCGCGACGCGTACATCGCGCGACGACACTTGGCAGAATGCGCGCGAATGACGAAAAATCATCACCCGCCTCTCCCAAGTCAGTTAATATGCACTCATTTGAAGGAAATTGTCTATCGATGCTGTCGGTACATGATAACATGATAACGAGAAAATAGTCGCGCAGTCTGCAGTTGTTTGTTAGGCCCACAACACGCACACAAAAATTAGCGAATTGATCAAACACGATCGATCAGGTTGGGGTCACGGAAAAACGCAAGCGGTAAAACCTAAACAGTAAGCAAACTGCGCGCCAACTGCAGTCAATTATTTTCTCCTTATGGCTCAAGAATAATTGACTGTAGACTGTATTGAATGCGGAATCTTTACGGTGTCAATTGTTTTTAAACCACAAGGGAAATAATTTTGACGCTGCATTTGATCAATTTTCGTACTACCTAAGTTTTATCGCTCGAGTTTCTCGCTAAGATTCTCTGTCTTGCGGAAAAGTGTAGGGAAACGTAAAACATGAACAACAATATATAAGCAAATTAATGTAATAATTTTTATATGATAATATTTATTATTAATCGTCGCTTATGTATTTTTTGATTGATTATTTAGCAATATATCTTATGGCCCAAGAATAATTGACGGTATTCGATCGATTTTCCCTTATCAACTGATGCACAAAAAGACGTAAGCACTAAGGCTTAAGCCAAATTTAAGTTTGACCGACTTGCATCTCACTTGGAAATTTTGTCTTATCCTCCAGTCCAAAATTAGTCGGCTACAGTTGGTCGACTTGCTTACTATTCAGATTCTCGTGTGTGCCAGAAGTCCAATTTGTTAGAAAACAATACTTTAGTAACGCTCGAAATGAACCGCATACTCGGCTACCCGACTGGCACTCGGGAGATATGTGCAACCCTCCTGGTTGAAATTGACACCACTAATACCTACTGAGAGAAACATCGAGTCGGGCGAGGGTGTCGGACTGCACCCTCGCCCGACGAAGTGAAGTGAAACGTCCGCGAAACTTTGGGGACAAATCCGCAGAAAACATGGTCCCGGAAGTCGAAGCCGACGTTCCCCCTCCCCAGTTGCAGAAGCCGCGAGTATCCGACGAAAAATCAGTCAGCGCATTAGGAGATCAGATCTGGATCCCGCTGCGCCCCTTCCGAATTTCGTCACACCTCAGCCCGTCCGTCCGTCCGTGATCTCTCAATGTCGGCGGGACACAAGATGCCGAGGTATGCGGAAGGAATACATCGCGTATCAACATCAACGTCAGACGCGACTCGCTCGCGGTAATTAAATCCCAAGACGCGCCCGGATAACGATCTTAATGAATTCGCGGAATCGCCCGTGTGATTATTGGTTAACCGTCAGTCAGGCCGGATTCAGCGTCGTAAGCCGCTAAAGTCGAGGCATCCAATTACAAGTGCCGACTGTCGGAAAATGACAGGGGGAATCTGGAAAATTCATCGCGAGCAACCGTGTCGCGCGATAGAGCGCGCCCGCCGATGCGGAAAATAATTTTTCAAAAGTCTCTCACGGCCGTCTGCTCCTTTTAATTTCTTTCCGGCCGACTCTCTGCCTCCCTCCTCTGGTACCTTCGCCCTCCCCAGCCCTACGCGGTCTGTCCTCGCTATTCTTCGCCAATGGCGAATGCGGAATCCGTACAAGGGCGTGAGCGGACGAATACGTAATGCGGATCGAGGCTTCCGAGGAGCCCGTTTCAGTCCGCCTACCGGAGCGTGTTAATACCCGAAAATTGAAAAGCGAAAATCAAAAATGTGATCCGGGTTCCCGGGATAATCCCCCCCTCGCCGGAGACATCACACCGATGAAAACTACATTCGCTCGCATGCGCTCGGTAGAAATGCACGCGCAAAGTTCGCGCAAACGGCCGTCCTCCAGTCGTCCTCGTAGTTTGGTATTAATATGCGCTTAGTAGTTGCGTGAAATATCAAAATATGCAGAAATACTGCGTAGGGAAGAACTTGGACGAGAACTTGATGGGGGATTTATTCGGTGGCGCTGAAGTGGTTTACCGTACGATATGTAGATCGATTCCCTCACCAAGATACAACGCCAGTAGTGTAGGAATTTTTGTTTTTGACAAGAATAAATCTAAAAATGTAAAGCAAGGTTAGAAGTAAAATATTTGCAGTAGTGTAGGGATTTTTTTTTTTTACGAGAATAAACTCAAAAGTGTAGAGCAAGGTTGGAAATAAAATATTTACACCGCGTACTATCATAGCTGATTATCGCTCGAGCTCATGAGAGCAGTGGCTCGAAATTGCAATTGTGAAATTGTAACCACTGAAGCGCTTCTGACTGACGTTGAAAACGAATGCGTGAAAAATGCGTGTGAAAAATCGCAAATATCTGGCCATTTTCTAGATTGGAAGTTTTGTCACATACAATTGTCGACCTTATGCTTATTTGTTTAATTGAAAATCACACATTCAGCGCCATGTTTTCCTCTCAGGGCGTTATA